TCAACCCTCTCGGAGATGACCCTATGAGCCGGATCTTCCTCAGGGAAACGAGCCACATGTCCATAGAGCTGAAGTTGGCGCTCTCATATCAGACTGGTAATAGGTCTTGAATCAGTCTCATGGAGTATCCTCTGATTGGACACATGGTCCCTCCAGGTATACCCCATAATTCTGCGAAGACACTTAGTACTGAAGGAGTTAAGACGGGCTTTCAGAGCACTGTTCAGTGTCCAGGTCTCACACCCGTAGAGCAAGACCGGGATCACCAGTGCTCTGAAGAGCCTGATCTTAGTTCTCCTATTCAAATACCGACAGCGCCAAATACTCCTATTGAGTACGTCCAAAACGCTGTAGGCCAGTCAGAGTCGTCGAGTGACTTCCCGGTCGGAACCTCTGTCGCTCTACACTACACTACCAAGATAAGTGAAGCTATCCAAGACCTCAATGTTCTCGCCACAGGCATGCACAGACTGAGCATCGACATCCAAAAAGTCCCCAAATTCCTGAACCTTGGTCTTGGTCCAGTTGACCGCGAGTCCCAATGGCTTTGCCTCCTCATGCAGCGCCTCGAGAGCTACTTCCAGGACCTCTAATGTCTCCGCTAGAATCACTGCATCATCGGCAAAGTCAAGGTCTGTGACCTTGAAATTATCAATTGATGCCCCACAGGAACTACGGTTCACGGTACGGCCAAGTATCCAGTCCATACGAATGTTGAAAAGGGTTGGGGCCAGGACACATCCATGTCTCACCCCGGCAGACACCGAGAAGAAGGCAGAGATGCCCTCCCCACACTTGGCAGCACTCTCAGTATCTGTATACAGGCCAGACAGCAAACCAATAATTCCAGGGGGGATCCCACGGAGACCCAGTAGGCTCCAGAGACTCTCCCGGTGCACTGAGTCGAAAGCCTTCTTGAGATCAACATAAGCTGCAAGCATACCCTGTAGAAACTCAAGTCGGCGTTCCACAAGGACACGAAGTGCTAAGACACGGTCTATAGTTGACTTCTTGGGTGTAAAACCAGACTGCTCAGGTCTCTATGCTCGTAATAGGTGGTCACGCACTCGTGCCAGAAGCAGATGAGCGAGGACCTTGCCTGGTACGCTGAGCAATGTAATACCTCTGTAGTTGCCACAGTCCTTTTGGTCCCCTTTCCCTTTCCAGAGAGAGATGACCAAGCCCCTTTTCCAGTCAGGGGGAATGGTACCAGTCTCCCAAACGGCAGACAGGACTGCATGCAAACCACAGATCATGGCTTCTCCACCTGCCTTCAACAACTCTGCAGCAATCCCACAGACACCAGCAGCCTTTCCACTTTTCAGCTTAGACACTGCCCTTCTCACCTCTTCGATGGAAGGTGGTGCCTCACTGATTGGTGGATCAGCCACTAGTGGCTGTGTACCAGCCAACGGGAGTTGTGAAGATGGGGGATCTACCCTATACAGTTGCTCAAAGTACTCAGCCCAGCGGGCCCTATACTCACCAGGCTCTGACACAATGTGACCATCCTCTGCTCTCACTGAGCCCAATTGAGAGATGGACTTTGATCGGAGTTCCCTCAGGGCTCGGAAAGCAGGTCGAAGGTCATTTTGGGCAAAAGGACCTTCCAACTCTTCCACGATGCCCCTAACGTACCTCTCTTGGTCCACTCTCAAAGAGGCCCTAGCAGAGCGAGACAGCTCCCTGTGCAAGACATGGTTCCCATCCAGTCTGGCAGCACGACTCATCTCTATAGTGTTCAGTGTCTCGTCTGAGACAACACACCTCCTTCGCCGAGGTCGGACACCAAGGCACTCCTAGGCAGTTCCTCGCTTAAAGGTATCCCACAGTTCAGCAGGGTCCTGTAGAGTACTAAGCACTTCAAACCGATTTGAGACTGCCATTGCATACTCCTGAGCCACCTCCTCACTCTTGAGCCTCTCGAGATGGAACACCTGCTGGTGAGATCTCGGGATGCGTCTAGATCTGAGGCGGAGCCTTAGTAATGCGACAACAAGTCTGTGGTCGGTAGCAAAGAACTCAGCACTCTGAAAAACTCCAGCGAGTATCCACGAGAATATGGTCGATCTCTTTAGCTATAACGCCAGTATTGGAGTACCAAGTCCAGCGGTGTCGATCTCGTCTCTGGTACCACGAGCCCGCAATCCTCAGCCTCCTAGATCTTGCGAAGTCTAAGAGGTATGAGCTATTGATGTTCCTAGTACCAGAGCCATAGGGACCGATGCATAGCTCGTATCCTTCCCTGTCAGTGCCAGTGACTGCATTGAAGTCCCCCAAGACCATGAGGGTGTCCCCCCGGGGACATTGATCCACTATAGAGTCAAGTTTGGCGTAGAACATCTCTTTCTCCTCAAGCCCACTTCCCTCAGTAGGAGCGTAAACTGCAATTAGAGATATGAAGCCCAAAGTGTGCTTCATTCTCACAAGCAGAATACGCTCGTCAACAGGGGTAACCTTCTTGACTGAGGAACGGAAGCGGTCAGAGACAGCCACCGCG